TTTGTTTATCTCCCTCAAATTGACTAAAAGAGTCTTTAACAGAACCATTAATGGTTCTAAATCAGAACCAGAATCATCACATTCCTCATGATTCCAGCATGTTTATGTGAAACTCCTGCAGTGTTTAAAATGCAGCGACTGTACCTGCTCCATGAAGCCTGGCCTCTAGGTACAACATTTTTAATCAGGAACTGTCAAGTGCATTTGATTAACATTAATGTGTCACATGGGTCGGCCCCCTGCCATATGTATGCAGATTCACAGAGGGTCCGAGCGGCCCCAGCCGCGCTCCGGCACATTCATCACTGTCACGTTGTGTGTGTGTGTGTGTCGGAGACAGCAGTGGGTCTGATGAAGATCACGCTTGCCGTCCCTCGCCCTCCTTTACGTGCTTAAGACAATGCAGTGAGGTCTGATAATACTACGGTAATACTGGGATGAGCTCTCACCTTTACTCACCATGACCTGGATATTAATATTTCGCTTAAGGAAGAAATGTATTTTGTCTTGAATTCAGTTGCCTTATCATGTGCAGTTGAGATTGCATTTATTGGATAATTCAAAAATGTTGTAATTATGAACTTTGACAGCAGTTGATTGGAGCATGAAAAGTGGGCGTGTCCAACCAGATTGGAGGAGAGGATTTAAAAAAAATAAAAGGGGTTGATGTGCGACCAGTATCTTCGATATACTATTGTAAATTTTTTGCTATTATTTTGAATTAGATTTTATTTATATATATATATATTTTTTTTTTTTGAATGACAGTATTTTCTAAGTCATTTAATTTTAATATTAATTAAAAAATAAAATGTATTGAAAAAAATATATTAAAAAAACGTATTTTGTGTCTCAGTTTTGTTTAAAGTTGGCGTTGAAAAATAAAAGTTGAAAATAAGCCTTAAAATAGTAATTAGTAAAAGTGTTAGTAATTTGGAAAGTTTTAGTAATTTTTCTTTTGTCATTTTAATTAGTTTTTTAATTGCACTAATTAATCCTGTAAAGCCTGGCATGAAATAAAAAAACAAACAGGTTTATCGGTAAAGGTTTGATTTTGTTGCTCATTTAGAGGCCTTAAAAAATATGATTTGATTAATATTAAATCATATTTTAAATATTATTAATAAAATAGTAAATGTTATCAACGATATTAATAATACAACCTTAATTAATAATAAAATATTTATATTTATTGAAGTACTTAAGTACCGTGTAAATGCTATGGTATATGAATAGAGTAATCATACAGTACTATGGTATTATAATTATTCCACCAGAGTCCCGTATTCATATTTCTATGCTTTTTCATTTCTATATATTTTGTAATTACTAAGATTTTTTTTAAAGAGATCACTTACGAAGAATTTGTAGGCAATTTGATATTTCAGATTTGTACGATTTTAACAGTGTACCATAACTATAAAAGTTCTATCTTTCCATAACTTTACTAATGTCTATGAATTTTCCAGTTCTTGAAATTGCCTGATATTCACAGGTTCTTCATGTTCAACGTGATTCTGAGGGTAGGAGACGTCCCATCGCTATTTCAGGATATGGTTATTGTCAGTAAGTGCTTGGCACCTCAGGATCAATGTGTAAGTGTAAAGTACTCTTGGTACGTTGTCATGACGACCAGCTACACATTAAAGCCCATAATCTGTAAGCTCATTAAAAACGAGAGTAGCAATCTGAGGCAGAGCTGCAGCTGCAGGTGCTGCGGTGCTCGTGAATCCTCTGTGTCTCTGCGCTAAATGCAACAGACCGCCTCCGGCCGGATCACGACTCGGGGAGGGGCTGAACTGCGCTTTCTTAAATTGCCCTGTGGAGAATAAATGGGCATGTTTGAGAAATCAGTGGCAACACCTTTTTATTGCAGCCCAATCCCACCCTCCACCTCCCCCTCACCCACCCACAGCGCTCGGGGAGCCGTTTCCATGGCGATCCGGTATTCCGACTAATGTATGGATGTGGAAGTGGAATTCCTGGAGACAGTCAGGAGCTCAGAGGAGCTCTTGTGCTACAGCTCTCTTACAAACCAGTCTGAGCTCAGATCTCAGAACTTACAAAACAACCAGCGTATCAGTGTGCTCAGGGCAACAACACATGACACTTGAAAGAATTCAATTCATATTCATAAATCGTCTGCTAAATGTCTAAATGTAAATGTATTTAAATATATATTATACACCTCTAAAATCAGAGAATTTAATTCACAAAATGTAAATCAATAATAAATATACTATATTTTTGAGATATATATGCACACATTTATATATATATATGTATACACACACACACATATACATACATATATATATGTGTGTGTGTGTTTATATGTATATATAATTATATAATTAAAATTCTAGTATTACCTCTAAAATCAAATAATTTTTTTATCTGTTAACAAGACTGTATCTATATACTGTATATCTAGAGGCAGTACAGCTTGGAAGCCAATGGATTGTGTAATTCACTTTTTTTTTAATTAAAAAACAGTATTTTCTAAGTCATTTAATTTTAATGTCAACTTAAAAAAAATAACTAAGTTTTAGTTTATGCTGTTGCCAAAGTATCAGATTTATTATTGTGAATATATATAATTCCTAAAATAACTAAGGGGACGTTTACACGACAACGTTTACGGCCAAAAACGGGAAACTTTTTATGCGTTTTGCCTGTTTGTTTACACGACAGCGGCATTTCGGAGACTGATAACGCATATTTTTGAAAACGGGTTTCAAAGTTCAAGTTTTTGAAAACGCCACCGTTATCGTTTCCGTGTAAACACACAAAATGGGAATCTTTGAAAACGGTGACGTCATGCGCGCGCGTAGTACGTGTTGGTATGTAGACGTGCAGTACGTGTAGCAACAGGTACTATTTACTAACAAGGTGACAGCGCCAACTACTGGCTTGGCATACGCAATAAAGTGTTTTTGGCATTTTCGCGGATGTGTAAACGCAAATCGTTTTGAAAACGCTGTCGTGTATTAGTGAAACTTTTTAAAAACGCAAGGGGAAAACTTTTACGTTTTTGACTACATCGTTGTCGTGTAAACGTAGCCTAAAACTAAACCTTAAAAATACAACTTACAATTATATACACGTTTTACTAATATTTTTACTAAAATTAAAATTAAAACCTAAAAATAAGAACTAAGAAAAATTAACAAAAAAACTATAATCGTGTATATCAATGATTCTAAAATATCACTGCGGTGTATTATAAAGACAATATGATAAAACTACTAAATGTTCATTAACTAAATCATTAATTACATCAACTGTTCCAACCATGAAATAAGTTAATTATCCTAACTGTAAACTACTGTACTGCTTTCTAGGAAATTATTATACGGAATAAAGAACAAATACTCTTCTCGAACGCAGAAGCGCATCAATATACAGTTCAACTGATGTGCAACTGGCCATCGCAAAACTCATTTGAACTCTAAAGCCTCGTTTGAAGCTCTTGGCAGAATTGATCATATTACTAATCTGCTTCGCATAATGCATCAGAACATCCTTTACTTGTAAAACTAACACACAGACTCCTGTGCAGTGTTGCTTTATTTTACAGTGTTTAAACGAGGCTCATGTTTTATCAAGAGTTTATAAGTGTTTAATGTGGAAGCTGCATAAATGTGATGATCTCCCGCTCCAGCATGAGCTCAGCAGATCTGATCTGTGATACATCAAGCAATTAAATATTAATAGAGCATCTAAAGCGTCCTCTAGGTAAAACACAACACAGGATCGGGTTCTACGATGAATAATGGAGCGCAATCATCGCAGATTACTGACAGACCGCTCAAAGACTAAAGCAGCACAGTTTTATCCAAGTGTTTACATTTTAATAGATGCTTTCAGGTCCATTTCTGTTCACAAATACATTTGATTGATTACACTGACAGCAATGAAATGTTAAAAGTGCAAATGCGGACAAATCATCGGTGGCCGCTTATGATGACGTTAAGAAACGTTCCCAGCACACGATGACGTGTTTTTCACCAACACAGAACACAACAAGCGACTTGATTGTCAATGATGATGCAAATCAATTAAAACACTAATTAAACGGATACGACTTCAATGATTCATAAGACTAAAGCTTTTGTCTCTAATGTGTAGAGATGATTTGAAATCTATTCACTGATCGGGAGTACAGCAACTCTACAGCAATCTTTCTAATGAAGGTAATACTCGCAGTTCCCTATTTTTTGTGCACTATGAAATTACATCTTCAGTGTTTTAAAAACACATGCAAAATGACACCAGATATTCCGTGGAGTTAGTAAACGGCATTTTCTTTTTGGGTTGAAGATCCCTGTTAGGAGTAATACACAAACGACATCTGAGTGAATCTCACGAAAACACATTCAGCTCACGCTTCACCCTAAAATCACAATGATATTTAAATAAAGAAAATAACGCCTATTTTCAGGAGCATTCAGATATTTTGCATTATTTTTTATTTGTATTATTATTTGCACAATTCTCATTATCGTACACTCGTTTTTTGTAATTCTCATCACTGTGTGTAATACAGTAATTTTTGTTGTATTATAGTAAAAAGCAATATTTTTCTTTATTCAACACAAAGGCAGTACAACAAATATTAGTGACATACTATTCATGACTTTATTCATGCATTACATTAATGAGAAATTGTTTAAAATGAACAACGTGCAAAAGGCAAAAAAAAAATCCTATTTTCATAAGCATTGAGATATTTTGAAATGTGATTTTTACATTATTCTTGCCAAGCATGCATTTCCCCCCACAATTCTAATTTTTGGTTATATTATAGTTAAAAAAATCAAAATTTTTATTTTTATTTTAATCAACACAAATTAAAGGCAGTACAACATACCACCATGTATAAAATTGACATTTTTGCATTACATTAATGAGAAGTTGCATTTAAAAATGTGCTATGCACAATGTCACAGTGCAAAAAAAAAAAAGGTAAACATTATGAGAAGCATTAAGATATTTTGCATTATTTTTAAATTTGTATTATTTGCAAGCAACCATTTTTTCCCCACAATTCTCAGTACTGTAATGCATTGACATTGTACTATTTTTTCACATTACTTTCTGTGTAACACAGCAATTTTTGTTGAATTAAAGTAAAAATGCTGGAAATTTTCTTCATTAAAATAAACAAAACTTACAAGCAGTACAACAAATACCACCATGATGGATAAATGTTAATTAGTGACATTTTGCATTACATTAATGGGAGATTTTGTTTAAAAATGTTGCATTATTTTTATTTGTATTATTAACATTATTCCAGCCAAGCAAGCTGTTTTACTGTAATGCATTCAGATACTATTTCTTTGCTATACAGTCATTTTTTTTGTATTATAGTAAACAACTATCAACTAAATAAAGGCAGTACAACAAATACCACCATGATGTATAAATATTTAGTGACATTTAAGCTTCAAATAACAAGAAATCACGTTTAAAAATGTGCTATGCACAAAATATCGAATCATCCTAAAAATAAACAATTTTCTTGCAAATCTATAATTCTCATACTTCACAGCTTTCGTGAGATTCACCCCTTCAGTGGCGAACAGGACGTTCAGACGAGATACAACGTACAAACACTGATGTATTGCATAAGACAAGTCATTTGCTGACGGCATGTAATCTACAGTGCACTCTGTGCCATAGTCTTAGAAATGGCTTCCTGGGTGACGCGCCTAAACCCAGAGATTCAAGTAGAGTTAAAGGATGTATTTCTGCGCATGGAATGTCAAAATTCACACACGAACCGTCACGGCAGATGCCTTAAAGGGAGATCAGAGGACAAACATGCAGCTTTTGGAGTACAGCGGATCACTAGAGAGGCCCCGAGGCAGCCGGACAGGAAGTGACACGCCTGGAGCGGGCGGTTTATTCTGATCTATAAAGTGCTCGTCATAAAGGATTGTAATAGACTGATAATGACTACTGATCTCAACCGGAGGCCGGTGAAGAGACGTCGGTCCGGTCTCAGTATGGGATCTGGTTCTGGTAGAACTGCAGTATGTCGTAGGTTTTGCTCCTGTATCAGAGAAACACAGAGTTTCACCATTAACGTTCACAATAAAACTCTTTCTTTGAATATTACGTGACAAGGTGATGTTTGTTACCTGCTACTGAGGAAGCAGCGCTCGATGACTTTAATCATGAAGGCCGCGGCTTCCTTCTCACTCATGTTGGGGTTGAACCTTTGCCTGCCGAACAGGGTTATTATCGTAAAACTATTAGAAACATTTTTGTTCATTACTGAAATAAATACAATATAAATATTAGATACAAAATTCAGAAAATAAATGAATCCTAAATAGTAATATTAAAATAAATAAATAAATAAAAATGGCAAAAGTACATTACAAAATTAGTAAAAAATAAATAAATAAAATAAAATTCAACAAAAATGTAATTGAAAACTGAAAATGTAAAAATAAAAGTTAATTCAAAATATGAATAAAAATATAAATAATACAAAAATAACACTGATGTAGAGAGATCAATGTTTCAGAGGAAGAAATGATAGATCAGAGCATTAAATTATGATTTAATATTCATTAACGCACTTCAGGAGTTTGATCGTCTGTCCTCTGAAGCACGGCAGCCCCGTGTCGAGCATCAAAGTCACCAGTGATACCACAGCATCCATGTATGGCCTGAAATAAATACATAAAACACACAAAGAAATGAAACTTAAAATCTAATTCTAACCAGCTAGTGACAGAAAACCAGTGTTATTATAGTATCAGAGTGATGCTATTATAGTTTTTATTCATATTTTTTAAAATTAAAATGAAATATTTTATATGATATAATATTATTATTTATATTTTTAAATCTTATACTATAATTTATAATTATTTTAATTTAGTTTTTTATTCGTTTTTAATACAGTTTTTTCAAATTCAATTTTGGTTAAACTAAATGAAAACAAAAAATATTGTAGTAGAAATGTGGCAAGTAGTTGAAATAAAATAATTTCAAGCTTTATTATTTGATTTAATTTCCATTAAATGTTTATGTTATTTCAAGTAATGAAAATGTTTTATGGCTTCAGTTTTAATTTTATTCAACAATAATATCCCTGTAAAGAACAAACCCTAAGCAGTCTTAAAATATTGGGGCAGTCAGCAAGAGACAGAATCCGCTCACAGAGGGCAGCCAAAATCCTCCCAAATCTTTCCCAGACAGCCTCCTGTGTCCACACGTCTGACCTAATCCATCATCTCTGAGGATGCTGAAATATTGAAGAGCGGCCGTCTCACCTTACAGCCAGGTATCCGCGCACACACATCTCCATGAACCATTTAAAGGGAGTGGCCTCCATCTTGCCGCCCATGATCATCACCATCTCGTCGGTCAGCTTGATGTCGGGCTCCCAGCCCAGATTACCCCCCGGAGAACTCTCAAACATGAAGCCGAAGTCTAGAAGACACAAAAATACATAAAACACAAACCCACAGTCATTTAACCCAGTCATTTCATTCATTCAAAAAATCTCAAATTTAAGTTAATTTAATAGTTATTTAATAATTAATTAAATAAATGTATTTATTTTAAGTTTAACTTGAGTTTTCATTGCAAGAATGGAATAATTAATGGGTTATAAGATGGAAATTTTACTTGTTTGATGACCATTAGAAACATTAATATGTAGTGGACACAAATAAAATAGATTAACACAAAATAAATTTCACAATCATTTCACCTTTTTTTAAAAATTAAACTTATATTTTAATGAATTAAATTTAATTATAATTACATATATAAAATTTAAGTTAATGTAACATTTATTTAATAATTAAAAATTAAATTAGTTTGAGTCTAATTTGAGTTTTTATTGCAAAACGAATTATGTACTAGAGGACATTACAGAAATAAAATGTAAAAAAAAAAGCATATTAGTTGAAAAACCTAATAGTTAATAAAAATTTGAAATGTTGCCTTCGCAACTAACTGAAATAAGTTTAAGGTGAAGCAAATTTTTTTTTAAATAAATAAAAGCTAAAACTGAACTAAAACTAAAATAGAAATGAATTAAACCTAAAAAGTAATATTTAAAAAAAAAAGAAAAAAAAAACACAAATAGGCAGAAGCACATAATAAATGACAAAAATGAACTAATGTTAAAATAAAAATAGAAAATAGAAAAATGAAAGCCAAAAATCTAAACAGAATATAAAAGTATCATATATATTATATTATAGTTTTTGTTAATATTTTGAGCTTTTAATTTATATTTCATATTTAACATAACACTTGTGGTTGCCAATCATAAGAGGACATTTTCATATCTTAAATGTACAGTAGCATAAACAGCTATACCAATAAAATGGTATGAAAAAAGGGAGGAAAATAGACAAATAATCATGGCGCCAGAAACCATGATTTTGGGGTGAAAATAAAATGCTACCTAAGAATGTGGCATCTTTAAGTTAAGCTAGTTTGGTTTAACCCAACTGACCGATGTGGATGAGATGGCCTTTGCTGTCCAGCATGATGTTGCCGTTGTGTCGGTCTTTGATTTGTAACAGGAAGAGTAGCAGACTGTATGCAGAATGAACTAATGTTAAAATAAAAATAGAAAATAGAAAAATGAAAGCCAAAAATCTAAACAGAATATAAAAGTATCATATATATTATATTATAGTTTTTGTTAATATTTTGAGCTTTTAATTTATATTTCATATTTAACATAACACTTGTGGTTGCCAATCATAAGAGGACATTTTCATATCTTAAATGTACAGTAGCATAAACAGCTATACCAATAAAATGGTATGAAAAAAGGGAGGAAAATAGACTAATAATCATGGCGCCAGAAACCATGATTTTGGGGGGAAAATAAAATGCTACCTAAGAATGTGGCATCTTTAAGTTAAGCTAGTTTGGTTTAACCCAACTGACCGATGTGGATGAGATGGCCTTTGCTGTCCAGCATGATGTTGCCGTTGTGTCGGTCTTTGATTTGTAACAGGAAGAGCAGCAGACTGTATGCAGCCATACTGCGGATGAAGTTATAACGAGCCTTAGAGAGAGAGAAAGAGAGAAATTACACACGATGCTTAAGAAATAAAAGATCAGGCACATCAGCTTTCTGTGCAACAACCAAAAATATCTCAAGCAAATGTCTGTCACCTTCTGGAAGGCCAGCGTGGACTCGTCCCCGTACTGGTTCCTGAAGTATTCGTACATGCCAATGTCAGTCTGCCGGCCGAGCTGATCGCGCGACTTACAGTCCGGAATACATTCAATCACGCCACACTGAAAGAACCAAACAGGAAAACCAGGTAAGCAGAACTTCAGCATGAAGTCTGACAGGAAGCTGAAACGACACTCACTCCAGGAGCGGTGGCCACCACCCGGTACGGGAACACAAACAGGTCCAAACCCACCAGCTGGAAGATGTTCTTGAAGAGACCGATGATCTGGAGGGCGAGCATGTCCTGATACCAGAGAAACAAAATTAATAAATCCATTAATGGTGAATATGAACTCAAAACACATCAAGGTCCAATTTCAACCCAAATTCAAAATACAAAAAAAAGATGCTTTAACTAAATTATTACATTTTATTTATTATTATTTAAATTATTACATTTTATTACAATATTGTATATTATATATACATTACTGTAATGGTTTCAGATGTATTATTTTACACTGAAAAAATATAATATAATATACATATCTGATGTAAAACAAATGGTAATTATAATTATATTTAAATTTAATCAAATTATTAACCACATTTTAACCAAAATTGAATTGACATTTTTGGAGTGAAATATAATACAGACGTAAAAGGTTTCATAACATGTATATATAATTAAAAGATGCAAAAAATTGCAATAAATAAATATAATATTTTATATTTTAAATACCGGTATACTATTTCCCCTATAATATTTGAAATATTTCATATAACATTTTCCCTATTAAATATTATTCATGAAATTATGTCATATATATATATATATATATGCATTATTTATTGCAATTTTTTATTATATATACGTTATGAAACCTTTTACGTCTGTATTATATTTCACTCCAAAAATGTCAATTCAATTTTGGTTAAAATGTGGTTAATAATTAGATTAAATTTAAATATAATCATAATTACCATTTGTTTTACATCAGATATGTAAATTATATTATATATATATATATATATATATATATATATATATGACATTTCATGAATAATATTGTATATATATTAATATATATTATATTATATATGTCAATGCATGTCACTAAAAATTATAATTTCCTTTTTTAGCAGTGAAATGAATTACTGATGTAAAATAAGATGTAATTTTTTTTTAAAACAAATATATACGTGTGTATACATATATATATATTTATTTATTCTTCCCCCCATGAAAACTTATCCATGAAATAGTGTCAATGTACAAAATCTTAATGGCACTAAAAATAATCATTTCTTATTTCTTTCTTTAATTTTGTAGTGAAGCATGATACAGACTTTAGAGATTTCATAAGTATGTTTTCCATGATACTGACCTGTCTGCAATCATCGCCCACTTTAAAGATGGCCGCCTGCCAGCAGACCTTTTGAGCCATCTCTGAATTCTCCTCACCTTCCTCCTGAGAGTCTGACGGGCAGCGCAGTCCTGCAGACACACAGACAACGGGCCGCTTACAGTCATACAGAAACTGCACGTATTGATGGCGTATAAAAGGTCACGTGCGACTCACCCTCTTTTTCAAGCTCACTGACTCCACACCTCTTCACTTTGAATTTCGCCAGATAAGGTGCTTTGGCAGCGCTGTAAAATCAGGCTAATGTTAATGAGCTCATAAATCACATGTGAAATGTAAACGGATAGCATGTGAACAGGTTTCTGGTGAGCGGTGATGTTTGGTGATACCTCTGCATGGGTGTTCCTGACTTATAGTCGATATCGAGGACGATCGCTTCTGGATTGCTTGGCAAATAGCATCCTGATTACAGTGTTAGAAAAATTAAACACAGATTAAAAAAAAGACATAAATACCCAAGTAATATGTGACCCTGGACCCCAAAACCAGTCTTAAGTCGCTGGGGCATATTTGTAGCAATAGCCAAAAAAACATTGTATGAGTCAAAATTATAGATTTTTCTTTTATGCCAAAAATCATCAGGATATTAAGTAGATCTTGTTCCATTTTGTAAATTTCCTACCGAAAATATATAAACACTTAATTTTTGTTTAGTAATATGCATTGCTAAGAACTTCATTTGGATAACTTTAAAGATGATTTTCTCAATATTTAGATGTTTTTTGCACCCTCAGATTCCAGATTTTCAAATAGTTGTATCTCGACCAGATATTGTCCTATCCTAACAAACCATACATCAATGGAAAGATTATTTATTCAGCTTTCAGATAATGTATAAATCTCAATTTTTTAAAATTGACCCTTATGACTGGTTTTGTGCTCCAGGGTCACATATTTTTAAAGCTTAGTTACTCTTATGACAAAATTGACCGATTGCTAACCTGGCTGAACTTTGATTTCTGACAGCGCCTTCAGACACGCTCTCTTCCTCTCATCTCCTTTAGGAACAGGCCTGGAAACAAGAACAGCATGCTTTCGTTTCTGTTCATTTTACTTATAGTACATTCAAAATATATTTTATGTAAAGAAAATGAAGCTTATCTTACTTATAATTTTATTATCTAGTTATAATAATACCTAAAAAACAACAAAATAATGTAAATAACAAACATGTAATTTCTAATTTTGTGCCAAAATATGACCTGGACTCACCCTTTATTAAATAATTAACCCTTAATGAAATAATTTTTACATTAAATTTTAAACTAAAATGTTTGAAATAAATTTTTTAATGAAATTTGTTTAGAGATGGGCGATGATTTGGAACAGGCCTGGAAAACAAGAACAGCGGTACAGTTTGTGAACAGCAATGCAAAAAATGCTTTAAATCATTTAATTTCCGATCCAAACAAATCACTGCCTACTTAGACAACATTTTTAGGCATTAAAAGCACACTTCATATGTAAAAGCTGCTTTTTTTTGTAGATATGTCAAGCTCTAGTTATAAAAATATTTTATTCGATAGAAATTGCTATTTGTGAGTAAAAAAAAATTTCAACTTGCAATAACAAATGACTGGAAAAGTCATGACATGCAGGCATAAAAATAAAATGTATATTTTTTTGGTAATGTTTCATTTGGAATTTAAAGTGAATTTAATTTGACATTTATGATTCAGTTAATTCGTTTTTTCAACAACTCCAAAACCTATTTTAATCAAATGTATATTTTAGCTGCTAAAAAGAACATTATTTTGTGTATTTGGTGTAATGAAATGTGTTTATGCGGTTTAAGGTTCAAAAAACACATTATTTTCAACATACTGTACATTATTGTTTCTCCTCTATGCCCCGCCTTTCTGAAACGCGACGATTTTTACAAAGCTCATCGGTCTGAAAAGCGAGGTGTGCTGTGATTGGCCAGCTATCCAGTGTGTTGTGATTGGCCGAATACCTCAAGCGTGTGACGGAAATGTTATGCCCCTCACCATACTGTGATGATGCCCTGTCCGGCCGGAGCGTAACATAAAACCATGTCTGCATTTGTGATCGGAGAAATGACAAACAACAAGCGCTACTCTACACTGTTCAAAACTCGTGTTTGAATCATCAGTGGCAAATTATTTAAATATAAAAAATGTACTTACAGTCTGTGAGTCAGAACAGCCAGCATTGTAGTCTACTCTCCCAGGATCAGGAAACAGTCTTCCGTTAAATGCGCTGCACACATCTGAATATTTGGGTTGAAGTGTTCTGGAACAGTGTTTTCTTAACCACTGATTTCTAGTCGTGTCCTCTTTTGGAAGACCAAACAAAGTAGTTTCGCTTTCACAATGAAAAAGCATCACACACATTGAGTGAGCGGAGGCCAGAGGCCTAGAGTGAGCGGAGGCGGGCGGGCTTGAGAACGGCGCAGGCGGCAGATTCGACGAAGGTGCATCCGGCGGGCTTGCGGCAACCATATGTGACGACTCCGGGCTGGACATCGCTTCGTCCACGCTACACTGCCCAAAAAACTCGCTTTAAATATAAAAAACTTTCTTCCAGTCTGTGAGTCAGAACAGCCGGCATTGAAGTCTACTCTACCAGGATCAGGAAACAGTCCTCCATGAAATGTGCTGCACACATCTGAATATTTGGGTTGAAGTGTTCTGGAACAGTGTTTTCTTAACCACTGATTTCTAGTCGTGTCCTCTTTTGGAAGACCAAACAAAGTAGTTTCGCTTTCACAATGAAAAAGCATCACACACATTGAGTGAGCGGAGGCCAGAGGCCTAGAGTGAGCGGAGGCGGGCGGGCTTGAGAACGGCGCAGGCGGCAGATTCGACGAAGGTGCATCCGGCGGGCTTGCGGCAACCATATGTGACGACTCCGGGCTGGACATCGCTTCGTCCACGATGAAAGCCGATCCGGCGATCCACAGCGCGAAGTTGATGTATTTCCTCAGTGACCAGCACGGATCAGCTTTAGGCATGACGAAGCGGATATCGTCCTCTTTTGGAAGGCAAAAAAAAGTAGTTCCGCTTTCACAACGAAACACAGCACCTTCACGACATAATGGCGGAGGCAACAACAATACTACAGCGAGAATAAAAGTTACGCCTTCTTTCTTTGCGTGAACATTTGGGCGGCATTATGCTAATCTTCCCACATAGTGAGGTAGACATGTGGGGGCGTGTTAGAACGAGCCGTTTTAGGTAGGCGTGGTTGATTCTTAACTTTTATAAAGAATATCTCTTTGGATTTGAGACTTTAGTCTTTGCAACTTTACATATCTTCTTTATGCACCAAGAGCTTGTAACACTCCAAAGAGAAAGGAACAATTTAAATCATATGACCCCTTTAAGATGCATCCTTGAGGTATAGCGCAATCCCAGAATGCACTGCAAAATCAGTAAATAAATAATGGCAGATGGAGTTGAAGGAAATTATATTTAAAAAATCTATTTCTAATAGCTCCTTTATGTAGTTCAATTTCAGTTAGGACGTCGCCTATGAAATCAACTGCCCTTGTAGGCAGTCACTAGTGTTTGGAAGAGAGCTCAGATGTGCTGGAAATATCATTGAACATACTTGATAATGGCGGAGACGTTGGTGATCTTGTTGAAGAAGTCAAACTCGCGCTGGTAGAAGTCTTTAGCGGGGCCTGACAGAGAGTGTGTGATGTCCTCCACCATCTGCTCCAGAAGCTCACCGATGTCCGCTGAAGCACAACACAAACCCAGCACTCAATAAACACCTGGCCAATCTAATCTAATATCATTCTAAACCTAATGGGTTACCATAAATGTTTTACATGAGATTTTCTCTTCCTGCTTACATACACCGCTGTATGAACTGCCACTGGAACATGAAAAATGATTGACAGGCAGAGAGCCACCTCCCACTTTTGATTTCTAAACAGCATTAGCACAGTTGTCCATGTTCATGTTTCCATTGTATACAATCATCTCAGACTCCTTCTTATCAGTAAATTATGTTCGATTCCACACACTACCATTCAAACATTTCTGGTCAGTAATATTTTTTTTTATGTTTCTGAAACTCTCTTCTGCCTACAAAGGCTGTACTTATTTGATCAAAATCACAGTAAAAACAATAAATAAATAAATGTTTTCTATGTGAATATAAATGTTCAAATGTAATTTATTCCTGTGATCAAAGCTGAATTTTCAGCATCATTACTCCAGTCTTCAGTGTCACATGATCCTTCAGAAATCAATCTAATACGCTGATTTGCTGCTCAAGAAACATTTCTGATTATTATCAATGTTGAAAACAGTTGTGCTGCTTCCTATTTTTGTGGAATACATTTTATTTTTCAGGATTCTTTGATGAATAGAAAGTTCAAAAGAACAGCATTTATTTTAAATAGAAATCATTCGTAACATTATAAATGTCACTTTTGATCAATTTAATGCATCCCTGATGTACAAAAGTAGCAATAAAACAAACCTTTGAACAATAATTTGGAGTAATCAGACTAATCGAACTACTAATTTAACTAACTGGACACATTCAGACTGAACTCTGCAGTAAGTTACGTACGATCTTTCTGATGGCCCTCCTCGTCCAGATAGATGTTGGTCTTCATGTTCCATATGAACTGATGAGCGAGGAGCTGGGACTTCTGTGCGGCCCACAGGATGTACTCGCGCACATAACCCATCTGTCAAAAACGCCCAGGGCTGTGTGAGTCAGATCAAACCACTGTTGTGTTAAGAAAAAGGGTTCAGCAAAGGTCACGGTTCACTCTTCCTCACCTTGTCATACCGCAGCGCTTGAACGATTTGAGGAATGTAAAACAAAATGGCATCCTGGAAGAGAAACGCAAGTCAGAAATCACAGAAACATAATGGACAAAATGTATTCTCTTCCTCACATGCGGAATAAAGCAAGATGGGGATCGCTATTATGACACATTTGTGGAGTTTAAATCATAAACCCACCTCTCTTTGTGTTTCACAGAAGAAAGAAAGTCATACAGGTTTGAAACAATATGAGTGTCTCTTTTTTCCATGATCAAAATTGTGAAAGTCTAATTACGTCAGTGGAAATTGTAGCTAAGTGCATAAATGCTGACAAATATCTGATATTGATTGACAGCAAGTTAATTGCTCAGCTGAAGTATTAAGCAGGACATTTTAAAAGCATGATTTCTAGACCTGGAAAAGTCATGGGAATTAAAAATTGTAATATAATATTAAAATGTCAATGAAAACTTTTTTCTAGTTATATCAAGCTCTATTATATTTTATTGGGTAGAAATTGCTTTTTAAAAAGCATGATTTCTACACCTAGAAAAGTCATGGAAATTAATATTAAAAATATTTTTTTAAATATTACAATTTCAAGTTCTCAAATATTTTATTGGGTAAAAATTGCTTTTTGAGATGTGTGATTCCTAGACCTGGAAAAATCATAGGAATTAATATTTTTAAAATATTAAAAAGTTAAGGAAATTTTTTTCTAGATATTTCAAACAAAAATATTTTATTGGGTAAGAATTGAAATTTTAAAAGTGTGATTTCTAGACCTGGAAAAGTCATGGGAATTAATATTAAAAATTAAAGGAAATGTTTAGAATTTATCATTTTTTCTATCTCTAAAATATTTTTTTTGGGTAGAAACTGCTCTTTGGGAGTAAAAAATAAAGAAGAAAATGTAATCACAAATGACTTGAAAAGTCAAGTAAATTCACTGGTAATAAAAAGTGTAAACCCTAACGAACATTTAGTTACTGAAACTTATGGAATGTAATTATTTGAAATGAACTATTATCACTATAAATGTAATTTTAAATATTTATATAAATATTAAAATATTTATTTAAATTCATTTGAATTGTCACTGCTAGTTTACGTAGTAAAAAAAAAAACTTTGAAAACGAACAGCTTTGTCATTGCAGCAGTGAAATAATGTCTTGTCAATGGGGGTCTTGGAGGGTGAAAGGTTGAGAATGGGTGGTGTAGAAGCAAAGACAGTACGTACAGGAGGGAAGGAGCGCAGGACTTTGACTCCATACTGAGCGGTGAGTGGATGAGGAGGGTACATGCTGGAGAAGTACGAGAGGCCGGTGGGAGGATCTGCAGGAGCCCAGCACAGGATGTGGCTCAGCTCTGGAGAATCAGCATCAATGGTGTGCCACGTCACCAGGAACTATGGGGAAAAACACATACGTTTACATGGACAACAATATTCTGATTTTAAGACAATACTCTGATTAAGAATCTACCATGTAAACAGAGATTTTTGATTACCTTAATCCGGCTAAAGTCATACTCGAAGTAAAGATATGTGGCGTATTCCTATTTTAGTCGCATTATTGAAGTGCAGTGTAGACATGTAAACACCTTAATCCCATTATTACCGTCATGTAGGACTTTTCGCCGCCTTTTGCAACAGGATACACACGGCAGTGGTCAACCGTTTGACAGCAAACAAAAGAGCACGGCTTCAACAACGCCGTCGTCTGTTTGCACTTGAATGTCTGTTAACTGCACTTGAAGCTTTCAGTAAATTAAAAATTAAACACCCAAAACTGTATATGGCATCAGACAAACTATATTTCTGTCAGGACCACTATCGTCAAAGATGATTGACAATTAGCATACAGTTTGGATTGGCGGTATGGTTCTGTTCTGGGCAAGAACTCCCTGCGCATCCATGCAGCCTAGCATGGATGAGAGCAGGGAGAGCAGCGATGACCCCCCCAGGGTAAACAGAACAGAACCAACATAAATGTATTGCAGATATCGTTAAAGTTCAATAATTTTATGTACACATTTTAGAATTAGTCTGATTTAAAGGATGATCAGAAGGCTGAATCCTGACTGACAGAGGAGGAGCTGGGGATGGAGAAGGGTAATTAGCTATTGAGCAATGCGAAAACTGCTTATAATACTGAGGGACCTTATATATGATTGCTTAGATAGGTGTCGTATTCCTATAGGTAGATGGGGATCAGCTGATGCAAGCTTGACTAACGTGACCTGCCAGAACTAAAGCTACGCTTGATGTTTATAAGTGAAATTCTGGAGGGGACGTCGGATGGCGTCACGTAGGGACGTAATGACGTGCCATTAACCGATCTATATATTATAACATGTAAAACGGGAACATGAAAGGAACATGAAAAGCAACTCATGTAAACACCTTAATCATAATATTGTCTTATTCAGAATAAGGTAAAAAATTAGATTACTGATGTCCATGTAAACATAGTGATTGAGAGTGATTTTTAGCACGTAGGGGTACATAATGTCCTGTTGTGGTAAAACGGCTCTAACCTTCACTGCCTCCGGCACATCGCTGACAGCACCAGGATCCAGTCGAACCAGACGGGTCACTTCAGCAACAATGCCATCTGCATTTTTGAACCTGCAAAGCAAGAAAATAGGTGATACAGTGACATCGAAACATGAGCTTCGTACCAAAACCTCAAAACTGGACTGAAACCTCATTTTTCTAATCAACTGGTGTGGCACTCTAATAGGCAAAAATGCATTAGTAAACACACATAATATAGTCCATTTTTAATCAGGATTATCGGATTAAATTTTCAATAGCATGATTATCATTCCAGATTTTATTGATATGACTGGAGTCTTTATCTTAGAGTGGAAAATATGATAAACTGTTTTTTAAACAATTTCTTTGTGTAAGAATATCAGTAAAATATTTTATAAAATAAAATAAAATAAAAAATAATATAATTTAACTCAAATTAAAATATGAAACGCAACTTGACGCATTGCATTCATAACATAATATTGCAAATAATGATTCCAGATTTTATTTTGGCAATTGATGTCTTTAACTCAATAGAGTGGAAAAAATGTTAAAAGTCTTTTAAAAACAATTTCTTTGTGTAAAAATGTCAGTGCACTTTTGAATAATAACAAAATAAAATACAAATTTTTTTTTTCTTATTCGAGAACTAAAAAGGTCCTAGTGCTGTCAAATGATAATCGCATCCAAAATAAAAGTTTTTGTTTATATAATATGTGTGTGTTTATTGTGTATATTTATTATGTATACATAAATACACACACATTCATGTATTTATTTAAGAAAAATATGTTATGTGTATACATTTAAAATATTTATACAAAACATAAATTATATTAATATAAATATATACATGGACATTTTCAAAATATATACTGTTTGTGTGTATTTATAGATACATAATATTCACAGTACACATACATATATTATATAAACAAAAACTTTTATTTTGGATGCGATTAATTTTTTGACAGCACTAAATATAACATAACATAACCTTTCCAAATCACAATAAGAGTTTGATTGGGGAAAATGTGCATAATTGTCAATGTTACTGGAAAAAAAATATAATAATAAAATGGTTCAACTCAAATCAGCTCCAATAGTCAGAGGAGTTAAAAAGATTTTTTCCCTTAACTCGACACAGAGGATTCTGGGACTGCATTCTGCACAAAAGAATACATGCCTGAAAAATTACTAAATGGTGGACAGGTCACTAGAGTTTGAAACAGAGTCAGAGTCTCGTTGTTGGTGTACCTTGCCGGAAGCTGCATGGCCAGATACGGAGCGATACTCCAGGCCAAGTTGACGTTGTCCTTCCACTGTTTCTCACTCAGGTTGATGTATTTGGATCTCCAGTTAGAGATGCTGGTCTCTACCGACTGCTCTGTGGCGATGGCCAGCTCCTGCGTTGATAGCGGGTTGTACCAAGTGGTCAGTCGCTCGATCTCACTGGCCTGTAAAGAAAGCACAGAGACGCTCAAGACACAGGAGTGTATTCGTATAACAGTACCCAAGCAGGGGAAAAAGCGTCCCTACCAGTAAGGCCAAGAGTAACGTCCTGCGCTTCGTGTAGTACTTGTGCAACTGGGTGCCTCTGTTGCTCTTTTTGGACATGCCTATAGTGAGAGAAAACAACAGAAGACATAGTAACAGCTGCATGAGGACTAAACATTAAACATGCTGGACTGCGGCTGTACACCTGTGAGACACTTATAAAGGTGCTTGTGTAATTAATTATTTAACTACTCTAGCTGGTTAACAAGCAGAGCTGGTTCTACACTGTGAACGGTGTTATTTTTGTATCATATTACAGTTTTAATTAACACTTTGAAATAGTTTTTACTTTTATGTTTTTCCATTTTCATTTAAAATGTAATTACAATTTTAATAAAAAAAATTACTGTTTTTGTCATTTGTATAATTTTAGATTTTTTTCTTAAATGTCATTACAGTTTTGTTTTTTGTTTTTTTTAGTTTAGTACATTATTTTTAGTACATGAACTAAATACAAATGAGAAATATTGCCTTGGCAATGAGTTGAAATAAAATAAGCTTGGTTTTTTAAATATTTTATTTTGTTTCAGTTTACGTGTATTTTATTTCAAGTAACAAAAATATTTTTATGGTTTTAGTTTTAGTTAAATATAATAACCCTGGCTGTGACTACAAAAAATTGCAACCTTTTTAGGCGATAAAACGGAACAACCAAAATCTTAAAGTTATCTTAATTTTACTTAATTTTTTTCTAGCTATGTCAAGCTCTAAAATATTTTATTGAGTAGAAATTGCTATTTTCGTGTGTAAAAAAAAGAAAAGAAAAAAGAATTTACTGGTAATAAAAAGTTCAAACCAATATAGTTATTCGAATTATGGGATTTAATTATTCTAACTATTATTATAAATAAATATCTCTCTCTCCCTGTATATATTTTATTATATTTAAATAAATCAATATAAAATAAAACATTTTTTTGTATTTTGAATTAATCAGGGTGATGGAGGATACTTAATCTCAGTTGATTAGACTAGAACAAAAGTGCAAAAACAGGTTTACATTAAGCACTACGTGATAGTAATTAATTGTTTTTTGAAACTTTAATTTGGTTGGTTTTTGGATTTCTCGCATAGGATGCGTTTGGGTGTTCTTGCGCTATTTTAACTCTTTAAAATGCAACACTCATAGTGTAAAATTGCTCAAAAAACTATCAACCAGTGACACAACAGCCATCAGTTCATTTCCAGTAGCTCAGAAAGCATTTATCGCTCGGCTAATGCAGTGCTGACCCTTAACAATCAGGGAGATCACTGCATTAGCAGGTGCACATTGGCTAAACAGATTAAACCATTAAAACCAATCAGGGTCAAAGAGCTGTTGTGTGTTTGGGTGATACCTGATTTCTTGGAGGTGGTGGACATCCCGCTGGACAGGGGGTAGGTGTTAATCCAGCCCTGAGTGCTCTGCTGACGGGAACCCATGGTCATGTCCATGTTGTTCCTCAGGTCGGTGGCGTTCATCACTGACAAACTGTTCAGGGACGGATCCTGGTTGTCTGTGAGAGGAAACTTTGTTAAGCGAAGGATTTTGCAGAATTTTATTCTCCCCTCTGGTACCTACACCATCAGAGTGATTCTCATGAAGAGTGTGTGCAGATCATAACTTACCCCAGAATCAAAAGAGAAAAAAAATCCATATGCATAAAGAAAAAGAAGCCAATTTATCATTTATATTTTTATTGCTTTATGACAATATTTTAATGATGTTTTCACATTTAACCAAAATTTTCATTACTGTAATACATCACGATTATTTTTCTTTTGAGTTTATTAGTAATTCTTATTTTTCTTTCATTAATGCATCTCATAAGGTTTTCATACTAATATATATATATATATATATATATATATATATGTGTATTGCATTATTCATATTCATTATATCTCTATATAATCTAGGCTACATTACATAAATTATGCCAACCTATTGATTGCCTCGCTTGTGAAACAGAATTTATTTTTTTAGCTCACAGACCCACAAGCATCAGTGTGTGTTTGTGCCTGAAGGCGAAACGAATCAGACCAGAACATGACGTGATAGTAAATGAATGCGTCTAGGGACGATTTTATTTTCTCTGATGGCATTATGACTGAGAGGCATTATTTCGAAAAGTGATTTTCGTTTTGGGAATAATTATGAATGATCAGAAAGATTGATTGTATTTCCTTGCTGTCTGCGCCGGTCTGAGATTCATTTGAGCTCCTTCTGAAGGGTTTCACATCAAGCCGCAATTGATTATTAATAGTGAGCCATAAATAGAATATAGATTAATTGGGCATGGGTATTTTTTTGCGTTAAATTATTAATTTTGTATTTTTGCACTATGTTGTCTCTACCTTCAGCACACCCCAGATATTTCAATCAGCTCTCCACTGGGTTAGACATGGTTGGCTTGGCTGCAGATTGGCTAACGTCCACTGCCAACACCAATATGTGAGTGTGTGTCTCCTTCCATTAAATTACAAAGCGGGTTGAGATCCGTTTTCTACGGTGACCGAGAAGTGCAAAACCAATCACAATTCTGAAAACAAAAGAACAAATTACAAACGCAAATGCAAGTCTAAAAAACAAAACAATTCAGAAAGCACAACAACAATTCAGAAAACATTATAACAAGTCAGAAAACACAATGACAAATTCGAAAACAAAATAACAAGTCAGAAAACACAACGACAAATCAGACAAACCGGAAGAGGTAGGTATAGTTTGAGACAGCGCCATTGGTTTGGGATTACTCATCGCTGACTGGACGAGACATCTGTCAATCAACGTATACAGGAAGAACCAGCTGAAGAACAGCAGAGTCATGGTAGAAAGTTCGGAGATGGTATTAAAGTAGCTCAGTTTAAATGTATTGTATGAATTGCCCTTACTATGGAATAAAAAATACGAAGTGTATATTTACATGTAGTTAAAAGTGGCTGTAAAACATCAGCTTCAGTGGCGCAGATGGATAACTGCGAGTCATTGGCTTTTCGAATTGTTCTAAATTGTTATTTTGTTGTTTAGACTTGCATTTGCGTTTGTAATTTGTTATTTTGTTTTCAGAATTATGATTTGTTTTGCACTTCTCGACCACCGTAGATTTCTCTGCCTTCATACATTTTGGCTTGGTCTTTGTGGTGGCTGGCATACCCTCGCAGATATCAGTTGAACGGCTGAATAAGGCTGATGAATTAAGACCAGCAAATATAACCTCCACTCTCTCATCTTGTGCAATTCACAGAGAGAAAATGAGATGGAAATGAAATGTACATTCAGGCTAATAAGAACAATCATTTTATGTTGGGAATTAAAGTTTAAATTTAACAGATTCTTAATACAATGTAATAACATTGTAATAACAATGTAACAGTGTTTGTGGAGGAAAACATGTTTATTCAGCTTTGTTTTATTGGTTATTTTAGAAATCAAACGTTAAATATTTTAGATTACTATTATTTTTTTTAATTCATGTCTTGTCAGAAATAATTACATTTCCACAGTTGTCTTAAGCTGACAGTGACACACTGCTGGAGAACCTGCAGACCGTTGCAAAATCCCCTCAGTTGCTAAACATGATGTTTGCTTGTCATGACATTTTTTTCTGGCTTGTGCAACTGGGTCACGTGATCTCTGTGCAAACAGGTTCACCTATGAGGTGGCTCCAGTCTTCGTGCTGTTAGAATATGTCACGCTGAAGAAGATGAGGGAGATCATTGGCTGGCAGGATGGCCGCGGTGATGGAATATTCTCCCCGGGTAAGTAGCTGTCAATCTGCGTGACCTGCCTTAATATGCTATATTAATATGTGCTTCTGTTATGACGTGAGCGCAAGCACACACTCTAAAAAATGCTGGGTTAAATATAACCCAGCGCTGGGTTAAAAAGGGACAAACCCAGCTATTGGGTTGTTTTGACCCAG